GTAGTTAGTAGTTAGTAGTTAGTAGTTAGTAGTTAGTAGTTAGTAGTAGTAGTAGTAGTAGTAGTAGTAGTAGTAGTAGTAGTAGCGGTAGTAGCAGTAGTAGTAGTACTAGTAGTAGTAGTAGTAGTAGAAGTATTTGTTGTAGTAGTAGTAGTCGTAGTAGCAGTAGCAGTAGTAGTTGTCGTAGTAGTAGTAGTAGTAGCAGGAGTAGTAGTAGTAGTAGTGGTAGTAGTAGCGGTAGTAGTAGTAGCAGCAGTGGCAGCAGTCGTCGTAGCCGTAGTCGTGGTATTATTAGTACTCATAGTCGTAGTAGTAGTGGCAACAGTAGTACCACTACGACTACGACTTCCACTACTACTACTACTAATAATACTACTACTACTACTACTACTGCTACTACTACTACTGCTACTACTACTACTACTGCTACGACTACTACTACTAATACTACTACTACTACTACTACTACTACTACAACTACTACTACTACTACTACTACTACTACTACTACTATAACTACTACTACTACTACTACAACTACTACTACTACTACTACTACTACTACTACTAAAACTACTACTACTACTACTACTACTACTACTACTACTACTACTACTCTACTACTACTGCTACTACTACTCCTACTACTACTACTGCTACTACTACTACTACTACTGCTACTACTCCTGCTACTACTACTGCCACTACTACCACTACTACGAGTACTACTACTGCCACTACAGGCTGGACATCCCCATCAGGATCTTCCTGGGACTATGTGGAGCACTTCGACATGTTCGGGAGAAGCAGAAGCTGGCAAAAGAAAGAAAGAGATGAGCTTCAAGCTCAAGCTCGCCATGTGGGCGGAGTGCCCAGGTCGTCATTGAAGGATAGGAAATGCTGATGGGAGAAAAGACACCAGAACACAACCAAACCCAACCTCCAAAACAACAAAACCAGAACCACAACAAAGAACCCAACCAGGCCACAACCAGACACCCATCAAAACTGGTAGTGTTTCCTCTGTGCGGGAGTAAGACAGGTGAGAAGAGTTGCTGCACACATCTGTGGGCCTGAATTCGAAAAACGAAACGAAACGTGTGTGAGTGTGGGAAAAATCTCTGAGCAGCCAATCAAATGTGGCCACGCTCTGTTGTCAAGGTAAGATCGCACTCGCCATGTCTGGGGGCTGTCGGAGCATTGCGACTTCCTGCAAAATGCCAAGGTTGAAGATCAGCAGTAATGACACTTGCCAAGGGTGCCAGAGGTTGCAAAAGCCAAGCAAGCCAAGGAAAACTCCCTCTTCGGGCACAACCTTCACAACTGATTGCACTTGCGAAGTGAGAGGCAGTTCATAAGTCTGGCAGTGGGCGCAGTGCAACAAACGGACTGCTGACCTCCCACAAGGGAGGTTTCATTCGCACCCCTTGGCACACATGTGCCAAAAGGAGTGGTTCATTCTTGAGAATGAAACGACACCATCCAACTGCGTGCAAGGCTCCTCTAGACAGTTGAGACAAAAGACCTTCCTAGATGGTTCTTGTGTTTCCACAAGATCGGAGATGGTCCTGCCGCTGCAGATGAGAAACTAAGGTTCTCTCTGGGCGCCTTCCCTTACCATTCCACCCAACAGACAAGAGACCTTGCTCGAGGTGTGGTGGTAAAGGCACCAAAAGCCAGGAGGCTGGGACTGAAGGTGCAGAGGAGCCTGCAGGTGAGGAAAACTTTTTTCCACGAGTACAGACGCCGTGTGGGCATGGTGCCCAGGTCATCATTGAAGGAAGGGAAATACAGTCAGATGGTGGAGAAGAGGACAAAGACAATCCAACAAAAAACAAACTAGACGACGAGTGGCCCGAAAGCATTTTTCATCACGTAGGAAATCAGAGTGCGAGTTATCCGGTAAGTGTGTAGTGAGAAGTGTTAAGTCGAGTGAGTTGAGGTAGTGTGTGGGTTTCTGTGCGTGTGTCTATGTCCGTGTGGAAACGAGTCTGCGTATGTGTGCGTTCGTGGAAGTTGAGGGAGTGTGTGGGTGTTTGTGTGCGATGCGGCCTCCCAAACCCCCCGGCGGCCAAGCGGTGACAGCCCAGCTCATCGTCGTGAGCATTTGGGCTGCTGGTAAGGGGACAATGGCAGCCAGCGTGCTGGCTTACCCACTTCAACTATGATGGCAGCCAGCGTGCTGGCTTTGCCATCTGGACAATGG